GACAAGTTTTTAAACTCTTTAAACCTGTGTTTCTCATTTCCAAACCTGGAGGGTTGGACCGTGGATGACTTTAAAGTTCTCATTCATCGCTTATTCTCTGACTTTTTATAAACCCTACTTTTTACTGATACTTTTTGTTTTTATAGCTCCTTAAATTCCCCCTGTATCCCTCCTTCTCTTTACAGAGAGCCGTCCTATAGAACAAATTTTTTTTAAATAAAAAGAATAGAAAAAAATCAGCCAAAAAAAATACATTGAAAAAATCTGACAGTATGTGCAGTGTTCCATATCCCTCCACTTATCTCTGAAAAGGAATGGTATCAGATGTATAAATACTGCTTGTTAAACTTACACTAATAGTGTTTAAATCACTGGAAAGATCTTTAGCAATCACTCATTCTCCATTCCAATAAACATTTATTAAACACTTACAATATGTCAGGTGCTGTGCTAAGCATCAGGGATACAATTAATAAAAGGAAAGACAGTGCCTGCCTTCAAGGAGCTCACAGGCTAATGGAGGGAGACAACACGTGAAAGAAATCAGGAAAGCAGGGTAGGGAGGAGTGGGGAGGAACACCAGGGGGTACCTGGCCTAAGATTATCTTGTTCAGTGGAGTTGAAACCATCAGTGGAGTTGAAACCAGGCAGCAGAGCAGATGTAGATTAGAGGGAGCTGAGAGTTTAGTTTCCACTCCCTATAAAGGAAGACGTTGGGAGGAATTGAGTACTCTACCCTCCAGCCCTACAATCTAGAGGACAGGAGGCTAAGGGAGGTGTTGTCAGTCAGGGCTGGAGTTAGTAACGTAGTGGTTAGATTATGAACTAATCCTGAGAGGCGAGGTGTTGCATGGAGTTGGAAGCGTAACTCCTTCCTTTTACAGGCAAGGCAGCCAAGATTCAGAGAGGTTTAAATGACTTGTCCAAGATCACACAAATGGCTCGTGGCAAAAATGGAGTTAAAACCCAGGTCCTCCAAATTCAGTACTCCCGTTTCACCATAATGCCTGTGTGTTAATTAGAGAAGATGTAGTAGAGTTCTTAGAATTTATTAGTAAAAAGGAGCTAATCAATCTTCATCTTTTATTCATGCAGGGTTTTTTTCTTCCTCAGTGTAATCAAGTCTCAGTTTATGTCTCCCCTTTTCCTTCATTGGCCATAATCATTTTGAATTTGTCTTGGCTAAGGAGCCAGATGCCCCCATACATATCATTCATTTAGCAAATTTAATGATCGTATTTATTCCCTTCTCAAGGATTGGTCAATATGTTTAACATTAGTGACCAGTGTCCAAAGGTCATACTCTGAAGGCTAGCCTCTAACTGCTTTGTTTTTGGAAGGGATAGGGAAGGGACCTGTGATTTCATTCGTCATTAATTGATTGGTGTTCAGACTCCTTCCTTCATGGGGAAGCTCCCTTTACTGATGCACATAGGTCACTTCTCTGTAACTTGTATTTAGTTATAAGGTCCCATTGCCTGGGACAGTGGCTGGCTAGAGGGGCTTTCCTAGGTTAACATAGCTATCAGTATGTGTCAAGAGGTGGCTCCAAGGCTGTATCTCTACCCACTCTTTCCTGCTGCCTCTCTTCAGAAATGAACTTTAAACTATTGGGTTATTACATCTCTTAGTAACATGGTCGAACCTAACCCTATAACTTATTTAACTATATTATTGGTGCTGAACATGATATACTAGACATGATATACTAGATAATATACTAGATATTATGATATGCTAGAAAAAATATAGATATACTTGATATACTAGATATACTAGATGATGTGCTAGAAAATGATATACATGATATACTAGAAAAAATATAGAACTTGGATTCAGGAGAGATACATATTAGAATCTGGCCTCCATCCATTAATCTGTTGGTTAATCCATCACTTCATAGTTGGGTGTCTTTGGGAAACCTTTGAAGCTCAATTTATCTTGTCTGTAAAATGGGGATAATAATACCTGCAACAATGATGGGGTGCTTGGGTGCTTGTCTTTGGGTGCTTGTGCTTGTACTTGTACCCCAATTTCTCCCTAGCCTCAGAAACACTGTCTCTGACAACCACTCCCCAGCCCAAGGACACCATGCCTAGCAGTTATTCATGCATGGGCCTCAGCATGACCCTTATCTCTCTCCTTGGTACAGCTACACAGAGCTGGGGCTGCTCAGGCCCCAGCCCTTCAGATCATGTCTCTGGAAGCCTCCCAATTCCTTAGTAAGTAAGTTCCTGTCTTGTGAGAAAGCTTTCCCTTGTTGCAGAGCATTCTCTCATCAAGACAGAGGGAGAGGGGTACCTCGGCCAGCCCAAGGAGTTTTGTCCTTGGCCAGCCCGAGGACTTTTCCTCCTGCCGGACTCCAAAGATCCATACCTCTGTCATCTCCCTCCCTGTCCGGTATACTCCCTGTACTTTCCCATCCATAGCCCCCAAAGACACCTGCACTTTTGGATTACCTCATCAGTGTTCCTGGCATTTCTTTCCCATGCTCTTTGCCATATAAACCCTAGCTGCATTCTCAGTCTCTCGCAGGTTCCTTTAAGAATCCTTGCCCACTGAAAAGCGTAACAATAAACTTTGCCACCATGGCTTAAAGAATGCTTGAGTCTGTGAATTCATTACAGACGAACCATCCTGTACCCAAGTCTTTGACGGGTCTCAACCTCTCAACCTCTTATACTGCAACAACATCACAGCGTTGTTGTGAAGAAAGTTCTTTGACAAAACTTAAAAGTGCTAGAGAAATGTGAATTATTGTCAATAGTTATTACACTAAAAATATATCAGTGGTCTCACAAAATTTTAGAATTGGCACTCAGTTATGGAAGGGTAATGTAAAAAGATTTATTCTTAACAAACAGAGGCAATGTGGTCAGTGGATAACGTTTCAGTTTTGGTGTCAGATCCACCTGGTTTCATTCCGACCTCTGAGTCCTGACTGCCATACTGGCTGTGTGATGCTGGGCTCCATACTGACTGTGGGACACTGGGCCGCTATCTCTTAACCTCTCAGTGCCCAAGTTGCCAATCTGCACTGGGTAAAGGAATTTTCCTGATGTAGTGTTTTCAAATCTTATATCATGGAGCTGAACCTTAAAAAAAAGTTTCTTCATCAATAGTTAGTTTTTCATTGTCCAAGGGTTCTTTTGTAAAGTGCTTGCAAGCAGTGTTTGTAAGTTGGTGCTGGTGGTTTTGTTTGTTTGTTTGAAGCTTTAGTACTTTAACAGGTATAAAAGTTGTCTAATTTCCAGGGCTATGTGGCCACAGAAATGCTATTAATTTGATACCATTTGTTACTTACTGGGAAAGTTCTAGCCTCCATGAGAACACAATTTGAAACTGGCTTTCTGTAGTTTTCGGAGATTGTTTCTCCTGCTGGATTCTCTCCAGATATCCCTTCTGTTTTGTTTCTTAGGGCAATACACTATATAAATAAAGTGGGTCATCTGCCCTATTCATGACCTGCTTAACAAAGCGTGGGGAAGGGAACTTTGATGTGTTTACTTAATATTACTTGCACTCTTAAAAATGCCATGCCATTTCCTGACATGTCCTCCCCTTCTAGACCCTTCCCTTGCCATAAAGATAGTCGAGCAAAACAGAGGGCATGTGTAACATTCAACATCTGTAGTCCCCTGGTTCTTTGAAGAGGCAGATGTTTTATCATCATCTCTGAAACCAATATTGGTCATAACTTTTAATTCAGCTGCCTTGTAATGTTTTAATTATGTTATTATAGTCATTGTACATATTCTCTTGGTTCTGCTCTCTTTCCTTTCACATTAGTCAATCCATCAATAAGCACTTAGTGTGTATAAGAAACTGTCTGAAGCACAGGGTATAGAAAGATAAAAATGGACAGTCCCTATTCTCAATGAGTTATATTCTTTTGAGAGAAACCACATGTGTGTGTAGAAATACAGATTAAATATTATGAAAGAAATATCTGATTATTTCAGTTGGGGTCACGAGCAGCTGGGAGTGGATAGGGTCAGGACAGGTGGCCTCATGCGATAGGTGCTGCTCCAGCTGAGTCTTCCCTTGTTTTTCTGAGTTATTCATATGTGTTATTTCTGGAGGTGCAGTAATATTCCATGACACCCATACACCACAGATTTGTTAAAGGACACTTTTATAGCCTGGCCATTGAATTGGAAGCAAAATTAAGCCAAGCCCCTCCAGTCTGAGTCAATACCCAGTTGACATTTAGGTTGCTCTATAAGTACTTTTGGTCTAGTGTTACCACAACCATTGCCACAGTCACCACAGTTTCTGAAATCCATGGAGTTAGACAATCTGTTCTCTGTGGACAAGCAGGTTAGACACAGCCTAAAGTAAGCCTGTCCAGTGAGGTGAGGAAAGCATCAATAATGGCTGAATAGTTCTGTATTTGGGAGGCAGGGTCGGGTAATGGGGAAGGGGCTGGATTTGGACTCTAAGGATCTGAATTTGAATCCTTGCTCTGAACCTTACTTCCTCCATTGAGGGGGGAGCAAGTCATTGAGCAAGTCAGTTAATTTCCCTAGTTCTCAATTTCCTCATTTGTAAAATGAGGGAGTTGTACCAGGACCATAAGGACCTTTCCAGTTCTAAATCCTATCATTACTGTGTGATCTTGGACATAGCATTTTAACCTCCCTGGGCCTTAGTTTCTTCATCTGATTAGAAGACTTTAGAGGTCCTCCGGTCTGTTCTCCTCATTTTATAGATGAACAAATGAGTGAAGAAAGGTTACTTGACTTTCCTGAAATCACTCGATGTTGCTGAGTAGGGATTAGAACCCAGGTCTCTCAGATTTTAGTCATGGTTAAGTCTAGTGTACTGTATTTTGTGTAATTAGCTAGATTAGATTAAAATAGGGAGCACCTCATAAAAAGGGAAATTTGTGTACAAAAGAGTTTATGTGAAAAGAGTGTACAAAAGTGTACAAAAAAAATTTGTGTGAAAAAATAAGAAATTCTGACTGTTAAATGACATGCAGAAATCTTGTTGGTGGTGATTCCATTCCTTGCCAGTGAGGAGGCTTATGGTTTCCTGTGAGTGCCTGATCCCTCAGAAAGACTGGAACCCCTGGTCCTCTTGTCTCTTTGTTTAATCATATTTTCTGGGCTCCTGTGCCTAGGATTTTAGCTTATGTTAATGGTTATGATGCTGGACTTGGGAGTTAGGAAGGTCTAGGTTCAAATTCTACCTGGGATATTTGCTAGCTATGTGAATACATGCAAGTGAATTGGCCTCCCTTGGGCTTCAGCCCCTCTGTAAAAGGGGGATAATACCCATAGTATTTATCTTCAAGGCTTTGGTGAGGCTCAAATTAGGTGATTGTAAAGGTCTCTGTAGATCCCAAAGCATTAAATAAATGCCCATTGTGGATGAGGATGAGGATGATGAGGATCAATAACATTTGGTCAGTCAACACGGTAAAACCCTGAGAGTTTGGCTTCATGAGCACAGGTATATAAAGTGGCTGAAGAGAATGTATTTCAGTTGAGACCCAGCATCCCAGTTGTTTGCCACGTGGTTTTCCTTCCCTTCCTGTCTTGGCTGCACATTTTCAGGGAGCCAGGAGCCTGTGGTTCTTGTATAATCTTCCAAGTTAGAACACAAAGTTCTGCTCATTGAATCACCAGCAGACTTTCTAATGAGTTGCCTCAAAACCTGCTCCTTGTATTCACTAGATTCCACTTCCCTATTTTGTATTGGACCATTCTCCAAACACGGTGGTTCTTCCTTGTGGCCTAGAAAGGGAGATGCTTCTTCCAAATCCCCAAACATTCCAAAACGAGCATTTTAAAACATCTGCTCCCTTCCTAGAGTGGTCAGTCATCAAGTGCCTGTAATGTGCCAGGCATTATGCTAAGTCCTGGGCATACAAAAAGAGGTGTAAAAGGTTATTTTTTTAAACCTTCAATGAACTCACAATCTGATAGGGGAGAGGATAAGCAAGCAAATATATACAAACAAGCTATATGAAGGATAAATCAGAAATTATTAAAAGAGAAAAGGCTCAAGAATTAAGAGGGGTTGGGAAAGGCCTCCTATAGCAAATGGAATTTTAGATGAGATTTGAAGGAATCTAGGAAAACCAAAAGGCAGAGATAAGGAGGGAGAATGTTGTAGGCATGGGGGACAGCCAGAGAATATGCCCAAAGACAGAGTGTTTTATTTGATGAACAGGTTGCTAATTCACTTAATAACAATAACTTATTTTATATGATTATAATATTAATATAATATTATGTATTGAATAACTTCAGAACAGTGCAGTATTTTTCCTTCCCTGCTGTCCCTAAAGTCTGCCTTTGCAGGCTTCAACAACATGTTTCAGCTGCAGTCTCACTCTGAACTTCCCTCATGGCCTGAGGCCTCCTCACACTAGAATATCATTTGTCCCTGTGCCCTTCTCAAGGGAGCCTATGCTTCTTAGGAATGGATGAATGATCGAAAGACCTTTAGCAAACGCTTACTAAATACCAAGCACCATGCTAAGTTCTGGAGATAAGGAAGATGGCAAGAAGCTGGCCACAGGATGGGTGATCATATAGTATGTTCAGCATGGTTTAGGGATGCAGGCAGGCAGGCTAGATACAGAAGACCTATGTGTATTTGTACCAGACCTGCCCCCAATCAGGATAGCAGGGGCTCAGAGGATAGTTCTAAAGTTGAAACTTTGGCACAACCAGTCTCCAAGGGAGGCCTGGTAACTTCGGCAGGATGCGTGATTGGTGGCATTATGGAGCCGCCTGTGTAATTTTTGTCCATGCCTTCTAGAAATCCTGCTCCAAGATTCTCCCTAATGCCCTAGATGCCTTCTTTTAGATGTTTAACCTTTTTAAAAATTTAAATTAATTAAATTAATTAGTTAAATTAATTTAAATTAAAATTAAAAATTTTAATTTTAGATTTATCAGCCCCTGTTCTCATTTGGGACTCTTATATAGTGCTTGAAGTTTACAAAGCGTCACCCTATTTGATCCTCATCACAACCCTTTGAGGTGGGTGCTATTATTATCGGACCATTCTACAGATGAGAAAACTGAGGCTGAGAGAGATTCCATGATTTTGCCAGGGGAGTTCATCTCAGCCCAGAATGCTGTCCATTGTTCTGCCTAGCTGTGGAGTTTCCTGTTTTGGCTACCACTTCACAGAGCCTGCATTTCACTAAAGCCTCCTGGGGCCTTTTCCACTTGAACTGTTGTCTACCTCTCCCTCCCCTTCTCCTTCCTGTGCAGGGGCAACTTCCTTCAAATTTTCAAAGTATTTTCTTCCAGGATCTGTAATTTCATCCTTGTGGGTGCTCCCTTCCAGGCTGCCACCCCTGCATGCCTCTAGGGGACATCCTTTGTGAACTGTGACCCAAATCTTCGTTGCTCTGCAGCCCACGGGGAGAGGCCTCTCAGAATTTGGCACGATTGACATGCAGTCACTTGGCCTGCACTTCTAGTCTTTGAAGGTTTTACTTCTATCTGATTCTGTTCCTCAGTGCTGCTCTCCTGGGGTGGGGTGAGGGTGGGGGAGGCCTTCTGCACATCAACAATGCAACTAGACTTCTTTTCTGTGCAATGTATTTGTACAGAAGTTTCCAACAGCTTTTCTTTACTTTTTGTATTGATTTGTAGGGCAGGGATTATTAGTAGCTCTTTTTTTTTTTTTTTGCTTTTAGGCAATTGGGGTTAAGTGACTTGCCTAGGGTCACACGGCTAGTATGTGTCAAGTGTTTGGTCTGAGGCCGGATTTGAACTCAGGTCCTCCTGACTTCAGGGCCAGTGCTCTATCTACTGTACCACCTAGCTGCCCCTAGGGATTAGTAGCTCTTAACAAAGGTAAAAGATTAAAAAAAAAATAAGACCTGTATGAAGCTGGGTCTTCAATGGAACATCTGTCAGGAATCCAGTCTCCTCTGTCTGTGATAAGACATTGAAGAATGATGTTAGTGGAGGCTAACCCCACCCCACCTATGCATTTGGTAGTTTGAGAATAAACGTTTAATGAACAAATACATTGTGAAATCTGGGTGACTAATAATGATAACCATGGTATCCAGGAGAGAAATTGGCATAACTGGTTCACTTAAGCAGAGCAATAAGGTGTGATGTCACTAATTTATTCTGATTAAAAAAAACACAACACAACAGTTCTTTAAGCTAAACAGACATCTATGAATGCTTTCCTCCTCCCCAACCCCCACCCCCCAGCCTTTTATTTGGTATTTTGTTAACCAGGCTATTCTTGCTTCATGCAGATAAGAGCTAGGTTCATTCTCATTAATGCTGGGCTGCCAATGATTTAGCCACTTAAAAACGAGTATATTACTTGGCTTGATACAGAGGGGTTTTTTTTAAATTTTTTTAAACCTAGCGATCAGAATAGCCAGCCCTCCACTGAGGGCTCATGATGTAGTAAAGATAATGTATATGGGGAAATGGGCTGAGAGTTGGAAGCTGTGGGTTTGAATCCCAGCTCCCACCTTTCCCAACTAGCTGTGTGGCTAAGGATGTCACTAAATAACAACACTGAATCTGGCAAATACTTACTGGGTTCTTGGTGTACCCGATAACTTCTCCGGGTCTGTTTCCTTTTCTGTGGAATGAGAGAGTTGGGGGAATGGATGTAGAGCTGTATTCGGATGTAGGAAAGCTTGGTAACAAGTCCCACTTTTGACACTTCACAGGTGGTGTGTCCTCAGATACATCATTCTGCCTATTACATCATTGCCCCAGGTAATTCACTAGAACTGAGCTGCATAGAAGAGACCAATCTGCATTGGTGGAGGGGATTCTTCATGTGGACCTCCCTACCCTAATGCAGATCACAGGCTTGGTTATGGTGGTGGTTGTTGTGATTGTTAACAACAGCAACGGTAATAATACTTGAACCACCTTTTTGACTTTTATTGATTTCATCTGTTTTTATGACAGTCATTTCTGGTCATACTGTACACCATCCCCCGCAACAAATGAGCTCTTCTTGATGACAAACACAGGTAAAACCTACTAACTCAGTGACCACATCTGATTCTATTCTGTATTCAGTCTGTCAGTGCTCAACAAAAAAGGAGTAGAATTTTTAAAAATAAAATGTTTTGTTGCTTCCTTTTGTTTTTTATACCATAATACCAATATTATAATTTTTACCCAATGTACCCACTATGTTTTTTTATTCCTTTCCCCCGAAATATAGCATCCCCCCTTATTACAAACACAGTGACCCATCTTATAGGCTTTGTTTTTTTGAGGGAGCACTTTGTAAACAAAGTAGGTCGTTATGGAGTTAAAGAATTATGGAGAGATGACTATTAGAACATGAGGAGAGCTTAAAAGATTGAAATTCTCAGGTGACCCCTAAAGCCCACATTAGTAATTCATTCTCATGTTACTTGACTCGGTCCTCATGCATTTGGACCTTATGCAGATTGTTTGTGGACTAGGGATATATCAGGGAGCAGAAATACAAGCCTGGTTGAGATGGAGACTGAGTCAAGAATAGGAGGTGCTGGAGTGAGATAACTAGTATAGGAATGGCCAGTAGAAGTATTTAGGTCATGAAGACTACCCAAACAGGTAAAGTAGTAAGGTGAGGAAGTCTGTAACATTGTTTTTGTTGTTCTTTAGTTGTGTCAGTCATGCCTGACTCTTTGTGACCCTGTTTAGGGTTTTCTTGGCAAAGATACTGGATTGGTTCTCCATTTCCTTTTCCAGCTTATTTTCCAGATGAGAAACTGAGGCAAACAGGGTTAGGTGACTTAGCCAGGCTTACAAGCCAGTAAGTGTCTGAGGATGGATTTGAACCCAGGAAGACAAGTCTTCCTGACTGTATCCATTGGCATGCCCCAAATTAAGGACAGGGATGGGACCTTGGATTTCATTGCTATAAGGTGCTCTCAGTTGAGTAAAATCCCTCTGTCAATGTAGGTTGGCACCTTCATGAGAACTTATAGTCTTAGAGGGATATCCCCAGGGTCACCCAACCAGTATGTGTCAAAGTCAGCACTTGTACCCAGCTTTGAGAGCAATTCTTCATTCACTGTGCCATACTGCCTCAAATTAAGGTTGTTAAAGATTTTTGGAAAGGTTGCAAAGAATGCTGAGAAAGATGTATTCTAACGATAAGAACTAACATTTCTATAAGCCATACAATGTGCCAGGCACTATGTTAAGCCTATTATCTCATTCGATTCTCACAACCCTGGGAGGTAGGTGCTGTTATTATCCTTATTTACATGAGGAAACTGAGGCAAACAGGTTCATTTTCTTGCTTAGATACTCACAGCCTTGTTTGAAGCCCAGATTTGATCTAAAGTCTTGTCAAATATACTAGCTTAGTAGAGAGTATTGTGGGAAATGGGAAAGCTTTTTTGATGAAGGAAAAAAGGCTGCTTCAAGGACTAGTCCCTCTTGTTTTGCACAACAGAAACCATACTGCTACTACAGATAAACTCCCAACCCTTCCCACATATAACAACCAATCACGAACTCCCCAGAGGAGGCTGCTGCTTCTGTGTCCAGTTCTAGGTCACTCGGACAGAGTGTTAGAATCTCATGTCACGGATGAAAAAACTGGGTGGAGGCAGGAGTCTCTGGCTTGGATAATCAGTTTTTAAAGCAGTATGACCTAGAGGAAAGAGAGCCTTAATTTATTCATCCCATAAAAAGAGGAAATCGAACAAGGTAAAACTTAAGGTCCCAACCATCTCCAAGTCCAGGGGTCCTACTTGTAAATAGACCTTTGACTTTCATTAATGTGGAAATTCCTTCCAGTGATGTTAATTGCAATCTATCCATGCCTACCCCTTCTGTGTAGCTGCTTCCCTGAGCTAAATATTGAAGGAATCCAAGGACCTCCCTTCTCAAATATGCTACTATATTACTAACTTTGTGACGCTGGGCACGTCACTTAAGCCTGTTTGCCTTTGTTTCTTCATCTGTAAAATGAGCTGGAGAAGGAAATGGCAAACCACTCCATTGTCTTGGCCAAGAAAACCCTAACTGAGGTCATGAAAAGTTGGACATGATTGAAACAACCGAACAACAATGCATTTATATAATATTACATATTTTATGCTCCTGTGTTATCTGCCTACCAGACTGTAGGCCTCCTGGGAGTGTAAACAGCGGTGGCTTCCGGCCTCTACACCACTCTGCGTTGCTTTTTCATGTGTCAGTGTGGGAGGAAAGGGGAAGGGGTCTGGAGGACATTTGAGTTCCCTGGTGTGGGGAACCCCTAACTTGGAAAGTCCTTCCATCAATGCATATCAGCATATAATGTATAATTTATTGTCTTCTAGAGTTGCCTTGTACATTAAGGGATTAAGTGACATGTTCTATGTTCACAAAACTTGTATGTGTATGGGATAAGTCTTGAAATCTAGCCTTTCCACTCCAAAGCCAGCTCTCTGCATCCCACTTGGACGCTCTACGTTCACAGTACTAGGAACATAATCATGTTTGTCCTTGCTGAATTTCAGTGAGGCGTTTTCTACAGATGGCTCCCAACTGGATTATCAAGTCCTTTTAGGGCAGAGACTGTGTCATCGTCTTCTGTATTGTCAGAAGAGGCGGCACAGTGGGTAGAGCATGAGGTCTGGAGTCTAGAAGACTCGAGTTCAAATCTGGCCTCAGATACCTGCTAACTGTGTGACCCTGGCCCAGGTGTTTTACCTCTGTTTGCCTCAGTTTCTTCATCTGTAAAATGGGGATCATAATAGCACTCACCTCCCACGGTTGTTAAGAGGCTCAAATGAGATAATAATTGTAAAGTGCCTAGCGCGATACCTGGCACAGAGTAGGCACTTTATAAACGTTTGCTATTATTGTTGTTATTATTATTCTACATCTCAGACAATGCCTGGGGCTTCCCAAACGCATAGTTAGCACTTTGCTTGTTGGTTAATGGAGATGTCCAGCAGACAACAAGCCGTGGTAATTCAGATGTTGTTGGCTAATCTGTTGGGTTGGAATTTTGGGTCTGTGAAGAGAAAGCTGAGTCATTCTAAATGCAGGGGCCTGTTACGTTTCTTACTTTGGACAAATGCCAGGTGAACACAGTGACGCCAGGGGAGAAGGAGAGCACGCACACTAAATCTAATTTATACCAAACCCTGAAGAAAACCCGTCCGAGCCACTGGCTTATTCTGGTTTCTGGTGTATTGTAAGAGTATAGAACTTACATTAAAGATGTTACGGGAAGGTCACTACTCTGCTAGGCTGTTAGTTAACACCATGTTTTTTTCCCTTGAAGATGATATTGCTGTTCTCACCAAGTTCAAGTCCACAAATCCAGAAGGTATTGTACTAACCAGAAAAAAAAAGATCTCTTGTTCACCACCCTGTTAATTGTTTGTATTGTGCACTGCTTTGTCCTGTCACCACCACAGCCTTCTTCCTTTTCCCAGACATGGAAAACCCATTGCAGTCATCCTTCTGAAACCCAAGTGGCAGAAAATCCATCCATTCATGCATGCACCAACCTTCTAGTTAGTGCCTATTATGTGCATAATAATACACCAGGCACTGGGAGATCTTGGGAAGAGAGGCAGGAAAGTTATCTTGCATTTAAAAGATTTAAAATGTTGTAGAAAGATGAAAACAATCAAATGATCTAAGTGCTGGTGACTAATCATTTTTGATGAATCAGTTTTCTTTTAAACTTTTAATTATTTTAATTATTTTAAGTGAATTTAATTAGTTTCAGTCAGTGAGCACTCAGCTTTATAATATTGCAGCAGGTAGCACAGTGGATAGAGCGCTGGGCCTGGAGTCAATAAGATCTGAAGTCAGATCTGTCCTTATACACCTACTAGCTGTCACTTAACTCCTACTTGCTTCAGTTTTGTCAACTGTAAAATGGGGATGATAATATCATAGGGCTGCTCTGAGGATGAAATGAGATAATATTTGTAAAAAGCTCTCAGCACAGTACCTGGCACAAAGTAGGTGCTATGTAAATGTTTATATTCCCTTTCCTTATTCTTCAAGTTTTCATGGAAGACGACATCCGATGTCTTCTTTCCTGTGTAGAAGCGAGGAATTCTCTTATGAATAGGGAAGAGACTGGGGACAACTATTAACCCCATCCCTTCTTAAAAGGATGCAGAATGAGATGGTAGAAAAAGTTCTGGATTTAGAGGCAGAGAGTCTGAGTTGGAATCCTGGCTCAAACACTACCTGTATTATCTTGGATGAGTCATTTAACCCTTCTGGGCCTCAGTTTCCTCATCTGTAAAATTAAAGGGGTTGATCTAGATGATGTCTAAGGTCACTTTCAACTCATCGATCTTATAACAGGGTAGGGAAATTGAAACTGTCTTCTATAAAATCACTGAGTTCTTGCCTTTAAAAACTTCCATACTAATTTTCTCTTTTTGGTGCCTTTTAGAGACACTGTCTTATGAAAAACTTTACTTAGGGAGATGAGTAGCAGTTGAACATTTCTTAGAAACTGTTGAATAAGCAGAATCAGTTGAATAAGTAGAATCACGCAAAATTAAAAATGCCAAGAGCTTTTAACCCATCATTCTCACTTCTAAGGTGAGGAAACTGGAATCTGGCAGTGTGGTGCAAAGGAAAAAGCACTGGATTTGGATTTACTGAACTTGGGTTCAGTTTCTGCCTTGTGACCTTGGGCAAGTCACTTAACTCATTTATTTCTCAGTTTCTACACCTCTGAAATGAGAGGTCCTTTAAAGTCTCATCCACTTCTAAACCTGTGGGCCTCCGAGTAATTTGTTCAGAGTCATACAGCAAGCTGTTGGGCAGACCAGAACCAGGCCTCCATCCTTTTGCATTCCTCAGGATCAATCTGGGTACTTCATATAAGGCTCTAAACTTACATTATGTTTCAAATTATCCGCATCCGCCTTTTTCTTTTTTTGGTCAGATTTGCTGTTCTTTTTGAATGTACTCAGACTTAAACTAAACCTTTCTCCTGATATAGTTTCCATAATGACTAAGGATTATCTTTTTATTCTTTCCCCTTTTACCTCCCTTACCTTTAAAGTCAATCAGGCAATCAGCCCCTTATTAAACATTTATTTTGTGCCAAGCACTGTGCTAAGCTCTGGGGATCCGGAAAAAAAAAAAAAGGCAAAACCCCCACCAAAGCAAAAAAAAAAAAATCTGTCCCTGCTCTCAAGGAGCTAACAGTCTTATGAGGGAAAAGCTTGCAGACAATGAAGCACAAACAAGCTAAAGATAGAATAAATTGGAGATAACCCAAAGAGGGAAGGCACCAGAATTTAGGGGTATTGATTAGTTAATGAATTGATTGATTTCACCATCTACAGAAACTCCTTCCTGTAGATGACAGGATTTCAGCCTTCAGACTTGAAGGGATCCAGGGAAACCAGGAGCCAGAGATAAAGGGGGAGAGACTTCCAGGCCTGGGGTACAGCCAGAAAATTCCAGAGAGGAGAGACGGAATGAGAATAAGAGCAAGGAGACTTGGTGTCATTGGTTCAATGAGTCTGTGCGGCGTGGGGGCGGGAGTGTCCCTCCACTGCTTAGTGGGGAATGGGGACAGGCTGGTGCCCTTCTCACTCCAGTGTGGATTTTCACCCACACGTCGATACTTTAGCGACTGGTAGATGGAGCTAAGACTAGCAGAGGCCCAGCCTTGTGGTTGGCGATGGGAAAGGAAGACGGCTGATGAAGCGAAAGAAAAATGAGTCTTGCGCCTCACCCTGCATGCTCTTTTGTGATTGGTGCCATGTGCTTTGTGTTAGGGATGTGCTGTGCACACAGTAGCTTTATGTCTCCTACTTCTCAAATGTTGCTACTATAGATGATGATAGGAAGAGCTAATAGCCACGCAGCACCAGTGGTGGGGAAGGGTAGTGTGGCTCATTGGAAAGAGCACTGAATTTGGAGCAAGATGATCTGGGTTCGAATCTCAGCCCTGCCCACTTATTACCTGTATGTCCTTGGGCAAGTCACTGCAACAACTCCTAGGGCTGTGGTTACCCAGTGTGTGAAATGAGGGAAAATAATGAGGGCTGTTTCTTAGGACCTTTGTTTCTCTAAATCCAAGACACCCTAAGGTCTCTGAGCTGGGAAAGTACCTGTAAAAAAAAAATGTCACTTGTGATACTGCAGAAGAGTGACTAAAGAAGTCTATGAAAGCATACAAAGTGTTTTTCTCTCTAGAAGAGTTTAGGGTACATTGTCCCAGCTTTATTACATGCCCTATTTACGGGCATAGAGCGTGAAAGAGATGGACTGACTTGTCTATTGTAACCCAGTTAATGAACGAGCTAGGATTCGAACCCATACCTTCTGATTCCAAGTCTTTATCTGTATTTCTCCATTATTACATTGCCTTTCACATCTTCCCCCCATGCCCCACTCTCCCCCACCACAGCTCTAAGGATATTATCCTTATGTGTTTTTATTCACTTATTTATTATTATTCCTAAGGATATTTCATATGCCCTTTTGAGAAGTTTTGAGGCGAGAAGATTCATCTCCATGTTTTCCTAAGTAGGCATCAGGATAGAGTAAAGTGCTCGGCCTCTGATAAATTTTTTTCTCAATATTGGTGAGTCCTATAGATTGCCCACTTCAGCCTGAGGTATTCTTCTCACATCTCTCACAAAGATGTCAGTGATACAGGAACACAGCTCAGAGTTGTGTAGGACTAAGTTCCTTTAATGTTCTGGCTGTAATCTGCCACACGTAATTTCCAGCCAACAAGTCAAGGTGCTAGTAAATCTCAGATGACAGACAATAGGAGCTGTCCATGGGCATCCCTTGGGCAGCAACCCCATCTGATGGTTTGCAACTGGGAATATTCTCACTCCAGGAAGGCGATTTCTGTTGGGTGTAGTGATCACTGTTCCTCCAAAGGGGAGGTGATAGCCAGCTTAAAGAATAACAGGAGGTGAATAATTTGCAGCCTTTTGTTGTGATCACAAAAAACCATTTTGTAAATATCCTTTGTTTTTGGTGTTAGTGGTGGTTTGACATTCTTTTTACCCATCCAGCTCCATGTTGAGTGTGGGCATTTAATTCTGCCATTGTCTTTTCCTTCCTTCCATGCCTCAGAGCTTGACCATCGGAATTCTTGCCAGTCCCTAATGCTGTCACTAGGCACTGAGCTCCTTTCCAGCAGGTGGACAATTTTTCATGGAATCTTGTTCCTCTCTCCTCTAGGAGAAGAATCCAATGGACCTCTGTACAAAACGAATTCCACTGCAGGATCCGAACTCCCAGGCAGCTCCGAGGTATGCCTTAAATCACTTCTCCTCCTAAACTTCAGAACAGAAGATGGATACAGGGTAGGATGTTTTTGAGATGAAGGAAATTTACTGTTTGGAGGTGGTGAGACCTTTTGATTCCAACCATTTGCTCAGTGTAAACTATACTTGTTTTCTCCCAAGCACATTCATCTTGTGTGTTAAATAAAGCAGATAGTGTGCTCCATGCAGATTCTAATATTTCATCTTTCCAGGGGCTGTTGGAATGCAGATGCAAATTAGGAAGAGAATTATGTACTTTTTGAATTTGATTCAAGGCTTCCCAGGGAGCAAGCCCAGCCACATGTGACTTGACATAGAAGAGGCCATCCCTGGAATGAAGCTTCCCTGGTGGCTTTATATTTATATTATTGGTTTTGATAAGAGAAGGATTGGTTTGGTGTTTTTTTGTTACAGAATTTTTTAACCAAGCACCATAAGTCTAGTTTAGGAAAACAAAGTAATTTGAATATGCATGTTCTCTTTGCAATCTGTTACAAATATAGCTTCTGAAGAGAACAAAGGAGATTAATGATTTGCCTAGCAAAGTATACGGTATATTTCCTTCTTTATTTACATAAATATTTACATATTTATAACATCAACATAATGACCAGAGGGACCAGTACTGGCTCATTGGAGTCTATGCTTCCTGGCCTATACTGGGCAATGCAGTTCATAAACTGGAAAGAGAGATGGATAGATCTGACAGATAGATAGATAGATAGATGGATGGATCTCATGACCTAATTGCTTTGTTAATTGATTTTTAAAAGTATATATTTATATATTTTTTTTCCAAGGAAAAGTCTTGGGATTCTGGTAACTAACCTTTAGAACAAGATTCTTAACTTTTTTATGTTGTGGGCTATTTTGGCAGAAACCTGTGGATCCCTTCTTCATGTTTTTAAACGGATAAAAAACATAGGAACGCAAAGGAAATCATTTATACCAAAATACAATTATCAATTTTTTTTTAAAGTTCATTGGCCCCAGGTTAAGAACTACTGCTTTAAGGCACAAATGTCCAATAAAGAAGCCACAAGAGGAAATGAATTTGTTTGATTGTTAGTTCATTTAGACCTAAAGAATTTTCATTATCAAAAAGCCGTTTGGCCCTGGGAACTAAAATGTAAAAGGTGGCTTGTGGTCTTTCCATTCCAGGGGCACTTCACTCAGGTGAAGCAGTTTCGGATGTCCATGTTCTAGGATACAGACCACTGGCCAGTGGCCAGCTTGAGTTCTCTGTCAGCAATGCGATTTCTGAAAGTTTAGTGGACAAAACATTAAATATTAAGGCTGAATCTGTGTAGGCAGAATGACGTAGAAAGTTGAAAGAATTTTCTCAATCATAACAATAAAGTTATACTTTAAAAAAAATGATGAGATTTGAGGGGTGGACAGGAGCAGTATGGCAATGGTGGGGAGTGATGAAGGAAGGCTTGATTCAGTCAGGTCTACAGATCAAATTCAGTTGATAATTTCTTGCCTCACTTCTACAGCTTTCTTAAATAGATAAGACTATCATATTGATAGAATATGATAAATAATTTTTTATTTTATTAAACACATGTCTTCATGTACTTAATGATATTTAAAACTAAAACTTTTGGCTATAGGCAGAGGGAAATGTGTGCATATTTTCTCAAAGAAACTCTTGATGGATGGATTCCTTCTGTCCATTGACATCCTCTCTTGGTTTTCAGAGAGTAGAGATAGATTAATGTCCTTCAATGTGTGACACAGTTTCTTTTTAAATGAATCAAGTGGTATTTGAAGCTTCTTTTCTGTGGTTTTCCAACTCTCCAATGTTTCCTAAGCCCCAAAGCTAGGTGTCCAGTTGTATATGTTATATGTAGACACATGTCCCCTTGCATTGCCTGCTGGTGGGGGTAAATGCAGCCCTGCTAGGTTAGCACTAGTTCTCTGGACTGTTGAGCTAAATTCATTACTGCTTTGGAATGTTGTCTAATACCCTCTAGTCAGCCATGAAGTCCTCATTTAAAACTGGAGATGTAGGATGTATGCTCTGTTCCACATTCAGCCAAGAAGAAATTCCAAGAAAGTTGAATGTGAAATTGGCAAGATTCTTTTTTTTTTCTTAAATAAAAAAGAACTGTCCAGATCACTTGCTTCCAAACCACTTCATTGGATAAGTTCCATTGGTTTTTACTTAAACTAAGTCTAATTGCTGTTTCATTGGTAGAGGTAAATCCAATGCCTGTTAAAGAATAACCTCATAGATAGAAATCCTAACATTAGCATACATTTCTGCTTAGATCAACAAACTCGGGTATAAGCTTGTAAACAATTCAATTGTCTAGGATGCCGTGATGCCACGAAAGTGTGAATGAAGGATCTGTGAATTCTCACTTCTCACACTTCAGAGCTTTAAAATACCCATGAGGATACATCTCCAGTGTTCTCCGTTTGATGTAGGATATCATTCTGTACTTGGCAGCCATTTCTTACTGGTGATAGTTTTATAATGGGATGCCAAACTGAGCTCTACAATGGAGCCCCAGAATATCTGGGATATAATAAAGGAGCTTACTGATCCTGTGGTTATAATCAACTTTGGATCCCTGTAATGTGGATAGGACATAAAAGGTCCAGCTTCAAAGAATGTCATCCATTTGCCACTTCGCTTACATGGCGGTTGTCATTGAAGGTACTGACAATGTAGGTGCAGCTTTGTGGAATTCTCAGAAATTGCCCAAATATTAAAGATTTGTCAAATCATTTCTGGAAGCTTAGTGAAGAAAATTCTTGTAAGTGTTTTTCCTAATCAGAGTAGCCTTTCTGCCCATCACTTATCAAACCCAGACTCATTGAGTTTCACAAATGCAGTCACTTTTCATTTTCTGGCTACTCAAACTAACTACCCTGCCTCTATCCCGATTTTATATTTCTTTGGAGGATACCATGCTGTTTTGTATAGGGGATTGTGGGGAGGGAGGAATTATAGACTTGATTGGAATAATGCAAAGTCTTCCTCTGACTAATGAAGGGCAAGCATGAGTCTTGAGAGTTACTACCAGCAGTGATCCATGAATTGTAAAATGCATAGGAAAGATCATAGAATGAAGGAGAGCTGCAGAAAAGTCCCCCCTTTCACCTAAGATTACAAGAAGCAGCTCTCAGAGAGGTGAAGATAAAGTGCTCTGTAACTCCTCTATCCCCCCAGTAAGTAGTGTGAAAAAATGAGACGACCTAATTTACTTTTACAAACTTGTTTGTAGCTTTCCATTGGAAAACAGATGTCAGTTTTCTTTTCCAAAGTAGGAAGTTGTAAAGTGCCTGTGGGCATATGGCCTGTCTTTGGAATATTCTGTATCCTCCCTTTGAAGTAATTTCAGCCAAACTGTCTACCTTTGTGAGGATGACCTTGCAAACAGCCTCTGCATTTATTCATAAGGCTCATAGAGGAAAGCAGCTCCATAGACTTGCTCCTGCCCTTTAAACACAGATGTGCCAAATTGGCTTGTGTGTTTGCATGATCAGGACTCTTACTGGTGTAGGATGGCATGACTAGGACATGCCGTGGCCTTGTTTGATGTCCAGTACATTACCTAAGGTCAGTAGGGGTTATAGAAATTGTAGAAAAATTGTGTAAAGCACATTCAGTGAGAAGTAAGCCTTCAACTAGCTTGATTGTATTCTGTACCAGACTACTGACGCACCAGCAACCCTTATCTCTCATCCCTGATTGTGTACCCCCTCGAGGACCCTAAATAACCTTGCTAGTTTTGACATGATTATCGTGGGGGAAGGGATGGAGAATGAATATGGCTACATTTCCTTAATAATTGCAGATCACCTCCTCTCTCCCTTTTCAGTGTCGGTATTTTCTGTTTGTGCCATAATTTGCTGGATTCCTGCTGGAAACTCAGCTTATTTTACACCTCACTGCATTTATTGTCTTCCTGAGGTGTGTTTTGACAACTTTGCATAGTAATTGGCCTGCCTGTGGTAGCGCTCGTGTGTCAGTTTCAAAACCAGCTTTGCCCTGAGATCAGCCTAATCATATAAAGAGACTTTTCAGAGGTAAAAGCAAGTTTGCAAGTGAGCTAGAGCTCACATTTTCCTACCCTGACTGCTCCTTGTTTTGTTTTTTTTTAAGCACCATGTTATGTACACCCCCTAATAGAAACCACCCAAAGCTACTTGCATGAGCTTTGAATGCCCCATATGATGTGCATGCTGGAACCAGTCATACATATTTAGATCACAGCTTCTATCATTCACATACACTGGAGGAGGTCTTAAGAATTTTTCACTCTCTGAGTCGGCATTGAGCAAGTACGTATGCGTGTGTGTGTATATATGTATGTACATACATATATACACATGTAAGTATGTACATATAGTCTTTGTGATGTTAAACAGTCAAAAAATGGATTTTGAGAAATCAATTAAAACCTCTTTCAAGGTATTCACCTTAATCATTTCACATAAAATTGTTGGAAACAAAGATGATGAAGCAGTTAATATTTTTTGTTCCTAAAGGTTCTAGCTCAAAGTGTTCTAGAAAAAAACAAAAAGCTCTATCCCTACCCCTGAGCTTTTTTGTTTCTCTCTATGTATCCTATGGTTTTTGGTTGTTAAAATAAAGCTTCCCACTGCCTTTGTATCATCACTAACAGCATATGTCTCTCCCATGACACTACTGGCAGGGTCTAAGCAGCACTGAGACTACCTTGCTCATCTCTGATCATCAAGGGGTAAGCAGCTACCATCAGTCACACCTCCATGCATGAATATGAATGTGGTGTCTTCTCCTAGTGGATGGTGACAGTCTCTTGTCCACTTCACCAATATTTTCCAGTTCCTCATGTGTGATATTCAGGTGTGTATGAAATTACCTGAAAGAGTTCCTTGGTTTAAAGGAATGAATCTCATAGGGTTCATTGAGTCTTTGCCTTACCCAACTGTGGGCCATCTGATGGTCCAGCAGATGGGTGATGTCTTTGAGGATATGGGCCGGGGGCAAGGGGAAGCCTGATTGATTTAGAAATCCATTTGAAATATCAATGGAGAGAACTGGAAAGTTTTTGGTTTGACACTGATCAGCTGGTGACAGATTCTGTTTGGAAGGGAAATGGGAATGTTGGTGTGCTTTGAATTTTGACTCTTATTAACATAGATGATGATTTAATTCTTACTAATATACTGATCTTCTGGGCTTGACATGGTGAAAGTATCAATTTAATTGTATTTTAAGGATTTGTGATTCAATCGGTGGGGGTAACCTTTCCACTGAAGTGATCTGTCACAACCCTTCAATGACTTTTTCTTTGAGAGTTAAACCTTGTTGATATTTTGAATGTTGTGTTGAAGAGTGTATTGACAGTACTTTTCATATTTCATGCATGGCATATTTTCTATAATTATAGCCTGTAAGAAAAACAATGTCATTTTGGTTGCACAGTGATGGCCATCTTTATCGTGGTACAATACGTGTGTTTGTTTGGTTTTTTAAGATGAGGCTTGTTGCTTCTCTGTAACTGATTATGACCATGTGCTAAAAGATTTAGTGGTTCCACTATTTTATTTACTTAAGCTCATTATTAGTGACTTCCTAAAAGTAGGGAATAAGCTTTAAGATATTTTAAAATATTCTTTGAAATGTATTTTAGAATGTGTAAAAATTTTATTATGTATGATGAATTTGTGGTTCCACTCTACTTAAATCTTGCTGGAAGTCTTGTACTATTTTTAAAAAAATATATAATTCAGTTTATTTGGTAATTTATGAATACTGTAACTCATGAACTCATTTCATTTGCATACACATATCAGTGCAAACTGGGGTGAAACAAAAGTCAGGATACAATTGGAAAAGAGGAGCAGTGATTTTTGCGTGCGTGTGTGTAAATCACATATTTTCATTTTCCACTGACATTATGCTTGGCATGCAAAGCAGTATGGGATAGGAGTTAGAGAACTGTCTTTGGGTCTAGATTTGAGTTTAAGCTGTAGGACACAAAAGTTGTTTGATCCTGGGTAAGTCATTTACCCTTTCAGTGCCTCAGGTAATTCTCTAAGACAAATCTCTGAGCTGTGGATCTCCATGGGTGGAGGAATTTCTTATCTATCCCTAATGAAATCATAAATCTGGGACAAAACAAACAAAAACCTTCTTTTCACTGATACATTGAATACTAAAGCTTCTCTGCACCTAAATACAATTTTACAAGATGCAGGAACCAAACACATGGTTAGAGGTGTCGTAACTAGGTGTAATAGTCTTGGAATGAAGAAACAAACACTTTTATGGAATTAGAGGTAGCATCCTCATGGAGGGATGGGGCAGGGGATGGCTTTTAGTTTACTCTGCCCTCATTTCATAACACTATTAAAAGGAAATCTGATGGTCAAACTGAGTCATCAATCATGGGCGAAGAGAAGCTGGCTCATTGTTGACCTAGTCTATGCTCTTTTTTTTTTCTCTTTCTTGTACTTTTCCTTTTCCTTTCCCCAGCTCCCTCCCCTGCTGATTCCCAGGATATTTTAATATGTAAACCTTTCAGGGTCCCTCACAGTGCCAGGGATGTCACTCAGTGATCCCCTGGCCTTATGATGGAAGCTTAACCTCAAGTCAGTTTCACTGGATCTGACATCAAGTCAGAGCAGTCATGTATCTCCAAGTGATTGGAAAAGCAGGATTGTAGGTAACAAGGCAAAGCTCTTCCTTCTGACTAGATGCTGGCATTTTCCCTCTAATAGTATTATGTGGGATAGGCCTAAGAGATTACAGAATCACCAGAGTTCAGGAACTTGAAGGGACCTTATGGGTCAACCCCCACCCCCCAACTGGACTCAGTGTCTCTTCTTCAACCTACTAGCCAAGTGGTCATCCAGCTTCTGTTTGAAGGGGACCGCAGTGAGGAGGACTTCCAGTAAGGGGGACCCTACCAACGAATATTCACATAGGACTTTAAGGATTTCAGAACTTTCTTTCTAAGGCCAGTGCTGTGTCTTGTATCCCACGTTATACCTCGTGGTTATTTGGTTTTGAATGTAGGTTTTTCTTCGTTTTATGATATGTTTTGAGTTTTGTTACTTCAAAGTCTGCATTCCATTGTTTGACAATGAAACGATGTTGTCAACAGATTGGAAGGTATGACTTTCCAGAACTTATTCAATATGAGTTGATAATGAGTTTGTATTGTAGAAGTTGATAGGAATTATTTGGGGAACCTTGATTTTAGTGGAAAGCTTTGTTCTTAATGCTTTCAGATATACAAAGAGCTTTTATGAACGATTTCTTCTGTCAAGCCTCAGCTAGCCATAATGGCTGAAAAATAACATACAACTAGCGTTTAAGGCTTGCCAAGCACTTTACATACATAATTTCATTTGGTTCTTACAACCACCGTGTGAGATAAAGCACACCAGGTATTATTGTCCCCATTTCACTAATAAGAAAACTAAAATTCAAGCTTGATCAGTCAGACAGCTAGTGAGCAGCTTAGGTGGATTTTAAACCCAGGTCCTTCTGACAATCTATCATTTTAATGAAGAGAAACAGCTAGGTAACAGCTACATGTCATAATGGATAGAGCACTGGACCTGAAGTCAGGAAGACCTGAGTTCAAATTCAGCTTCAAACACTTACTGTTTGACTCTGGGCAAGTCACTTAACCTCCATTTATCTTAATCCACCAGAGAAAGAAATGGCAAACCATTCCAGTATTTTTGCCCAAAAAAACCTCATGGACAGTTAGGCACATTATGGTCCTTGGAGCCACGAAGAGTTAGACAGGACCGAACAATAACATCTCCCACTTTCTGTGTGATCGATAGAGGTCTCCTCACTATAGGTTAAATCCTGGCCCTGTGATTGAGTTGGCATCAGGAAATCTCATGGGAAGAAACCCCTTCTACCAATTCAGATGCGCATCTTCGGTCCCTTGGAGTCCCAGAGAGTTGCATGAGCACAGAAAAGCTAACTGCCCAAGGTCACCCTGACAGCATGTGTCAGAAGCAGGATGTGAAACCAGTTCTTCCTGACTCTAAGGCTGGTTCTCTGTCCATTATACCACACTCGCCCTCCCAGTGTCTCAGACAGCTACCCTGAGGCAGTTGTAGGGGGTTTGTCCATCTCCCACTTACAATGATCACTGATTGGGTGAGTCTGTTTTTGCAAGAACTAATGGAAATTTTCCCAGTGTCGTTTTTAGACTCAATGTTTTCCAATATACTAGTTACATATAGCTAAGAGATGGCTCACAAGTTTAAACATGATGGAGTACCTTTTTATCCTGTTTGATGGCCACATTAACAATTGAAACCATATAGCACTGAATTATTAACACTGAACAGATGCCACTAGAATTTTTTTTTCTCCTGTTGGCTTTGAGAGTAATACACAGAGCCACCAGCAAATGTTTCTTAGTATTGACTGTCAACTGCACAGGAAAAAGGAAATGGGGGGAGGGGAGAGGGGTAATATAGGCAGTCTCAACAGCCAGTTTCCTTTATTTGTACTGAGGCCTAGATGAGAAATGGGCTTAATTTACAAGAGATTCAAGTGGCCAGATATCCAGAATCTTTTCAGCATGGGCATTGTGAGGTAATGGAGTATATCATCCAGAGAAGTTGTGAAATTTACTGGTACGGGAAAAATTTACAACAGGGAATCTCTCTCTGGTATGGGTTCCATGCAGAGGGATGGATACACTCAGATAACTCACCAAGCTTGACTCTTACCTGGGGTTCTATGGTTTATGATTATGTGGATAAAATAGAATAACATTTTCATTCCCAACGGAGATAGGCAAATTTTATTGCCACCCCATAAAACAACTTTTTGAAGAGATCTTGTATGGCATGTGTTTAGACTGTTGGAATTGCCAACAGGAAGAACTGGGTTCAATTCCAGCCCAGGCACTCACTAGCTATGTGTGACATCCTCGGAAAATTATTTAACTCTCTGATCCTCAGTTTTCTCTTCAGTAAAAGGAAAAGGTTGGACCAGATGGTCTCTAAGGACCCTATCAATTCTAAATCTTACCATCCCATGAAAGCGAAAAAGTTACCTTTTTTTCTCCCTTCTTCAACAGGATTTCTTTCCATTGTTTTGGACTTTCATTAAAAATTCTTTATTTGATTTAATTAAATAATAAGATTATATACATTTTAAAAGATTTTGCTCTTTGCTCTATTTTATATATTAAAAGCATAAGAAAATAATTGCAACTCATAATAAGTTGTTTAACCTTTAGTGTTCTAGTCTAGACAACTCTCTAAGGGCATATTCAACAAAAAAACCTATCATGGCCCAAAATATTCTTTTTGGTTTTTTTGTTTTTTGTTTTTTGTGAGGCAATTGGGGTCACACAGCTAGTGAGTATCAAGTGTCTGGTCTGATATCAGATCTGAACTCAGGTCCCCTGATTCCAGGGCCGGTGCTCTATCCACTGCACCACTTAGCTGTCCCCCAAAATATTCTTACTTCCAAAAATGAGGCAAAGGTGCTGCGTTTTGAATGATGGAAAAATGCTGTCAGGACCTAAGCAGTACTAATGTCCGCTCTAATGTCTGGGACAAACAACATCTTTAAGGCAGCAGACCAGGCTGAATGGGGCCATTCAGTATAGAAAAGGTGGCTATCTGCCGTGGAAGAAGGAGTTTCCTCATTCAGTACTTCCCTTTACTAATGAACTCCCAGGTCAGGTCCCTCTCTATTTTTTTTTTTAACCCTCAGGTGCCAGAATTG